GGAGACGCGCGATTGAAAATTATCAAGAACAGTACGCGCTTTTGTTTGGCCATGTTTTAGTATTGATTACCAAACAAAACAAAGCTCACTTAAATAAGCCTGTTAGAGCCGGTTTTACGAAAACCAGATTTCGAAGCAAAACAACTCGTTTACCATCGAAGAAATTTGACTCGAAACGAGGCGTCACTAATTGAAGAGTTTTAGTTTCCGTGTAAATATTCATTATTGGAAGACTGGAGATGTTGCTGCGAAATTCTCTATCGAAACTTGAATATCTGTTTATTTAGCCGCGTTGTAGCAAAGCTTAAATTATTAGGCTAAAGCTCTTACCTCAACCTCTTATCGAAGAATCTGGTTCCCCGAAGGAAGCAACCGTAACTTCCACTTACAGAGATCTTGGTAAATGTAATGTTTCTTTTCCCATAAAAATATGCGAATTTAGATTCTAAAAAAAGACTGCATTCTTTTGGCTTGAAGTCATCTCTACTAACATAGATTAGCATACGACTTTTTTCCTCAAACGCCGACAATATAGAGTTATAAATTTAGATTATAGATTGAAACTTGTCTCCGGGCAAACTTTCACAATATGGGCTTGCATGCACGCACCATATAGTCAGGCTAGCGAAATAATTTTCGAAAGTTCATTTTATTTCCTGAGAACTTTTTCATGTACATATTGTCTCTTCAGCCATAAACAATTTGCTATCAGCTTTGAAAGATCACTTTTCCCATAACAAATTCATTAATGTCATTCATAGCCAGATGTTTTCCTAGTAATATGAAAACTCAGAACGTTCAAAACCCACGCGAGTGAGCATCAAATATAATCGTTTCCGTGATGATTCGACAGTACGGGGTTATCAATAAAAAAAAGGACTAGCTTAGTTTAGATATTTTTCGCCTACAACTCATATCGTTTATTCCAGGCAATTAATTAAGAACTACTAGCGCTAATTAGCGTCTCGGCCCGGAAAATAATTTATCAGAGAGCGTCTGAAACTATTCTTAGCTGTTAGATAATTCTACATCTCATCTGTAATTCATTGTTATCACATTTTGTAGAGTAGAGAATGAAAATATGACAAAATTTAATTAAGCCTGTCTCAGACTGGAATAGTTAGTTTCAACCAATACTCAATGCGGCCAGAAAATAGTTTTGCCGTTAAACATTATAAAAACTACAAGGAAACTACACGCGCTAAGATAAGACAAAAAAAAAAACAAACAAACACCGGTATAATTCAGAAGTAAAGCCACGGAAAACTGAAACATTTTAAAGTTGTTTCATAAACTCATTAGAATACACCAGTAGTCTGTTATCAGCGGTGTTTTGCGATACATTCTTCGATTGGTGTTCTGTAAGTTTATCATGATATGGCCATTAAGCTAGAAATGAAGAGCCATAGGATTACTTGGCGAAGTTGACAATTAGTCAATATCATTTTGTTTCGCTACTAAAAACTCTACACTTTCTATAGATTTTTATCGTTTCCTGAAGACGTGGAAAAAATAACAGCGCTTGTAAATCACTCGCCCTCAGAAAAAAGCCTTGATGATGGGAAACAACTCAAATTTCGTCGTGTCCTTCCTACGACAGTGCACAGTGAAAACAAAAAATATTTTCTGTTTTCTAAGGAAATTTAATCTAGCTTCAGAATAGCTTTTACCTATTTGAGGAAAATCTTACAGGAACGATGGATATTATTCCTAGTCCAAAGTCTTGAAGACGACGGACAAGCCTCAATACAAATAGCCACTTAATAGACAAGAGAGCCCGCGTTTTTAATTTTCTTGGGGAGGAACAAAGACTTGACTCACGTGAATGGCTATCAAGCCTACGACTGAGAATACAAATAGCATATATATTATCACAATATCTTAAGCAAAGCTGGCATGATGCTTTCTCATTCAGGTCCAACAATTTTCTCTTTCACCTTGTAAAAAACTACTATTGGTACCGTTTTTTTTGTTTTTGCGTATTCTCGTCTAAAAGTTGCCTCTCGTGTAAGTGTATCAATGAGGATATTCGCCTTACACTTAATCGCGTACTAGACGCCCCTTCAAAAAAATGATTGTTTGTTATGAGGAGAGTGTCTTGCAATGTCTGTTTTTCTCTGAGTTGTTTTGAACAGCCCTGGCCATAGGCAGTTTTGTCCATACCATTTCGTGTGATATAATTGGTCTAGACAAAACCAAGATATGAGTTTTCCTAGACTCGATAAAGTATTCGTTTGTTTGCCGAGCAGGCCCATTTGGGATGAATTTCCTCTGAGTAAAATGATATATTTGTTGAATGATTTATATAACACTTGTAGAGCATTTTTAACCATATCTTGAAGAGGCGGCATTCACTGAACTATTCACTTTCGAATTTGAATTACAAAAAGCAAGCATCGCAATGGCTCTGACTGAACCTTGAACCTTGGGGCAGCTGTTCTTTTAACAATTTCGTTCTTAGCTGTTGGTTTGATATGTACCAGTTATATCTTAAAATAGCCGCTTTACTAAGTATTGATGGTGTAATGAATTCTTGTGATATTCACTTAAAACATATTGCGTTTAGCAGAAAAGGGAAAATTTGGTCCTTGCATTTAAAATACCTCATGCTTGACAGTTCATGAAAATCAGATCAACTCATCTTGATTAACCCTTGAACTCCAATGAGTTACCAAGACAGAATTTCTCCTTCGAATAATAATACAATATCAAGCAGAAAAGTGATGAGAATAGGGAAAAATATCAGTTAGGGGATTATAAGTTGATCCAAGACCAAATTCTCCAAACAAACATCCCCAGAACTGTATGGCAGACAGTAAGGAGAATCACCAATGAGATCTTGGGAGTTAAAGGACTAAAGACATTTTCAGAAGCGACATTCCCGAAACAAAAACGAAAAAAGAGCTGAGGACATTGAAGTAACTGTGAGTTTATATTCTACACTCCCAGACACATTTGCTGGAACGCTTATTGCCTTCCCGCTCTTCCTCGCGACAAAGACCCGTCCCATTTTCGCGAAATTAAGTTCCCGCAAAAATCAGTTGGGAATACCAGTATCTGGGCAACTGCCCACCTACCCCTCCCCCAACCCAACATTAACCGTAACTTGTTATCAACTGACTGTTGTTGGCAACCCAACATTAACCGTAACTTGTTATCAACTGACTGTTGTTGGGTTAAGGGAGGGGTAGGTGGGCAGTTGCCCAGATACTGATATTGATCAGAACAATAAGGTAATTATGTCTGGGAGTAAAGCCTTCCAGCACTTTCCGAGCCGAAATACAATTACACTGTATAGATCATTTCATGTTTAATTATGACAACCACTCAATGTCACGTAACCAACACATAATTAGCCACGATTCTTCAAAACAGGACAGAAATATTGGAGCTCGAAAAAAAAAAATTAGTGAGACTATCTTGGCCGCTATGATTGATGAGTGGACTGTATTTTGAAGAGCTCCCGAGGAAAAGCAAAATGATAGAGCAATGATTACTTTATGCCAACTGAGGACGAACGCAAATTTGGGGCTTACCAATCAGTATGACTGCCTCTGATGCTCTTCTGCGTGGTTACAGCGTGTGTTGAAATGAACATTTCGGCTTCTCGATCTAAGTTTGAGGTTATTATCTTTATTAAACCATACAAACATTTTATTTCTTTCCATGAGAGTTTCTGAGCTTCATCGAAATTAATTTTGACTTTCTCTAAGTAGAGAGGGGTAGCATGCGAGACGCATGTGCTTCCGTTCACGATCCACAATGCAACTTCCGTCTACGGAATACAACTTCCATCCACGGTCGACAACTTCCGTCGATATCTGCTTCACCACGATACCTCATTCATTGCTTCCAGCATGAATGAGCTGAAAAGGCCAGATAAAGGGCAGCGAAATCAAAGGTACTTACATTTGTCCAGCCTTGTCAGGTATATAGATTTTACGTCACAAACATAAACACTTCCAATTCAAATAAGGCCCCTAGAAACACCCTAGTAAACCATGCATTACGAATACCGAAAAAAGGCGTGTTACATGTAAAAATTACGTGAGCTTAGATTAGAGTTCATTCCGTTGCGATTTCGGTAACGCCACATTTACCAAACACAGAACTAAACTTTTCGAGTAAACTTTACTTTAAAAATAAATTTCACAAACCAAAAAAGATTTCCACAACTGTATAGACAAAATATGAAACTTATTATCTGTATAAAAAAATCAGACCATCATGAGTCATATCCTCGGGAAAGTCCGTGTTATTTTGCATCATCGACATCCTGTTTGAATGACGCCAAAGCGTGGGCAGTATGGCAATTTTCTTTGAACTATTTTTTCTCGGAATCCAATTGTCTTTAATTTTCTCGGAATTCATTCTCTTTCAATATGCTATAACCAAAACATGGGCGCAGTTTGTGATGACGTGACATGGAAACATCGAACATCTTTCTTCAATTTTCAGCAGCTGAAATCTGCAAAGAGACTCATGTATTCCCAAAGCTTTACCTGCTGACCAATCACAACCGACTAGTTCAGGATATGCAAATTATTATGCTGCCCGCTGATTAAATAGGCACTGCAAGTACATGTCGCGAAAGACAATAGCATTCTGGGCGATGATTATAACCATTTTGTGATAACGTGACATGGAAACATCGAACATCTCCCAGCAGAATAGTAGTTGGGCGGGTCGGGCACAGTTTTTGAAAACTGGCTCCCCAACCCCAACTACTATGCTACTATTAACCGTGACCTTGAGTGTCCTTGACATGATTATTGTATAATCTGAAGCCAGATGACGTCCCAGGCACTGATTTCGAAAATTCACTGTACGCTTTCGGCCAATCAGAAAAGAGGGAATCAAACTTCCTCTGAGTCAATAACTAAATTCATTAAATTCGTATCATCTTTTGAAAACAGAGTGTCAGCGGCAACTGAGAAATTCTTTCAACTCAGCAGTCAGCTGTCAACAGTCTTACAAACTGAATATTCAATAGCGTCAAAATGGCTGGAGTTGTTCAGTGGATTGATGGTCGGGCACATCAGCCACATGTTGTTGAGAAATGTTGTCCTAGCATACACATCACACAGAACCAGTGGGACGATGATTGGAACAAATACTTCAGTGATAGTCGACATCAATATCCTCATATCTCTGACTATGAGTGTGTTTTCAGCCATCCTTTCATGGCTGAGTGCATGAACTTAAAGTATGGTCTACCATGGCAGAACCTACAAGCAGCAAAACTGAATGGGACCAGCGTCCCTTTCGTCGATCTAGCGCACTTCACTATACCAGTCAGAGCAGATAGTATCATTGATGATGGGGGCTTCAAGGGAGGAATGAAGAAAATCAACGAAGACGAAAACGGACATGATATCGAAGCAGAGTTTTCGTGGTGGAGTCCGAAGTTTTCGGAGAACGAAATCGATCGTGTACGTGATACCCTGCGTGCAGCCATAGAGCCTTTTCTTGGTAAAGAAAATGATAAAGAAGAAGTCGTAAGTCAATTCGCTAAGTCTCACGCCTTCATACCAAGTTCGGAGCGGTATGGAAGTTCCTATTTCCAGTATGGCTTTGAAACGTTATGTCAACATTATGTTGAAAAATACCGTAAGATTGGGGAGGAAAATTCGCTCCAATTCAAGATATTAGGAACATACATTTACAAGAAAGAGATCATGCATGCTGTTCTTGTTTGTAGCGACAAAGATGAACAGTTTTCGGATTACCCCGACGTCGCTGATGATGATAATGATGATGGCAACAACGAGGGGGTAGTAACGCGCGACTACGATGGCAACTGGGTTTGGAAGCCCCAAGCAACCGCTACAGAAATTGTACGTCTTCCAGATTGTTTGCAAAGCTTTCCCATATACCGTAGATGGGAACATTTAGCTTTTGCATTTTATACACCGAACGGGGTCTTCAAACTCCCTGACTTAGAAGAACATCGCTTTGTGTTAACGTGTGTTGAAAACTGGACCGAGAGTGTCACGTGAATTTTTGTATGTTTCTTACCCCCCACGAATTGAACTTTGAACTCTTGATGAAAACTCTAAGAAGGAAAATGAAAAGGAATGCGTGAAAGCTGTCTTGTGTATTGTTATTCTGGAATACAGTCTTTATTCGAAGTTGTCCTGTTGTATACGTTTTATACAACGTGAGTTGCCGGCTTCTTTTAAGAGAAGAGTTTTACGAACTGTAATAAAACCTTTGGATGGGTTTAGTTTTAGCGTGGTTTGCTATAAGCTCGACGCGTAAGCATTTCGCACGAGTTTTCCGTTTCTCAGGCTGGGAAAAGGAATGGCAAGGACTGTCGAAGAGGTTTTCTTTCGTAATCAGCAGAGACTCGCGTTTCTATGTCTCTGAGTAATTTAACTTAAATATTTCGATCGCTGTTCGTGTCTAGTAGGGGAAGCAACAACAATTATTCGCATGAGTGTTTTAACTAGGTATCAGTTTTAGTTTTGGCCAATTCATTCGTTTTTACCTAGAGAGTTGTCCTAATTAGATAGATCTATCGCTTATAATTTTCCTTTTATTGTTCATGATATAAGTAAGATCATTAAATTGTTGCACTGAGCTTGATACTAACCATTCTCTGCCTAAAAACTATCTATAGCCCGATATTGATTATGAAATAAACTATGCATGCTGTGATGCTTGTTTCAGTTGAGGAGTTAAGTTGAACAACACGAGTGTTTGCGAGTCAGCTTTCGCAAACTTGAATGGGATAACACCGAAAGAATGAGTCGCCACTGATCGGATCCTTGTGTTTGCGCAAAGACTTCTGGGATCGCCACGAGGCAAACATTGCAACTCGTATGGCGAAAGGTTGTTTTGACGTCGGAAAAAAGATTTTGGAGAGAGATTATCGTTCTTTCGCTTCTGTTTTACCAAAAATTAATCTGGGTAATATTAACACGAGGGTAGCGTAAGTTTTTGTTTGAACAACCATGAAATATGCAGTAAAATCTACCGATTAACTTTTTTCTGTACGCATGGTGTATTGTAAAATTGACATCCCAGAATGGTCTCGAAATTCAGAAATGTTAGCTATACAAGAAATAACTCAATAAAGGCTTTTCAGTTTTTTTGACATGTGTAAAGACTACTTCTAGCTTTTTTCTTGGCTTGGTAATACAAAAGAGGCGGCTGGAGATTGAAATAGTGTGCTTGAGCATGAAATATTATCATGATACAATGAAGTGAATAAACGCTTACATCACTTCTTTATTGTGACAAATGAAAACGAACCAGCGTTGATAATCGGCGAAAAACTGAAACCTTTCTTCTGCGACGAAGAGTAGGTACAAATAGGTCGCTTAAGAAGCGAAGCACAACTGAATTTATGTCCACAATTTCTGCTGGAGTTCCCGTTATCTTGCTTTTGCTGACAAGATCCTCCAAATAGTTCGAGGAGAAAAGTTGCCGCTCAAAAACCTTTGGATTTTTCTAAAAAAAACCAGAAAACACAAACACTTGACCTAGGGATTTCCTCTTGATTTCATCGCTTATTTCATCCTTCCAGAGAGCAACATAAGGTAAAAAAACAATCTCAATCTCCGCTGGCAATGACTTCTCTTCTTTGCGGAGGTATATTTTCGGACGTCGTAATTTTGTTATGTAATACGTTAACAAGTGTAAAAACAGGCTGTACGTACATAAATACATCCGAAAAGACTTACACAAGTTATTTCCTGGCGATTTATGGCTAATTTTGTAACATGTCGAGACCTTTCGCGATGACAATTTCACAATCAACCTTACGCAACGGGAGAAGTTTATCGGTATATTTTAAAACATATTTCATGGTAATTCCAACAAAAACTTACACTTCCCTCTTATCGACATCATCACTAGTCATTTGAGATAAAACTGCGACGAAAAAGCATTGATCTCACCCCAAAATCGTTAGAAACAAAATCGAAACAACCTTTCGCCATATATTTCCTCCTAGCGAGTTACAATGTTTGCCCCGTAGCGATCCCAGAAATCTTTGCGCAAACGCAAGGATCCGATCACTGACAACTCATTTATTGCACAGTTCCAAAACACAAGTTAATCATTAACATAAAAAAGCGCAAAGGTTATGAACCCCAGAAGATTTTTTCTGCGACGTATTTCCAAAAGGCTTCTTAAATCGGATCATGAGGAACGTCTAATGACATTCCAATCATATTAAGCCGGCTTACTGACCAAAAAATACATTCAAAAGAAACAAAAAATATCCAAAGACCGTGAACGGTCTGGAAGCTGAATTCACTCCTTTTATCATCCCTGAATGTACTGTGCTTGTCCGACGCTTGAGTACTTCTGGCATTTTAATACTTACAAAAGAGCAAGCGCAATATGCATACCACGAGAGGGATGAAAGAATTTGAACAATTGCCCTGCAGGTGTTGACATTACACCATGCGAAGGATAAATAACTCACTGGAAGACGAACTAGTAGTATTCATAAAACGAATATGAATTAATTCTTTGTTTCCGTGGCACTTCTAATCAAAATGTTCACATCACTGAGGTCTCCGACAGACATGCCGCTGTGCGTTTTTCTTTATTAACAGCTCTAGATCCCATGGAGTTAGATTTCCGCAGGAAATATATGACTTGAAAAAGCTGTTATCATTATTTCTCTGGAAGAGTTACTACTAAAATGCTCTAGGCAAGCCAAGCAGGACACACATTTTTTTCTTCCATTCCGTTTTTAATTCAGTGAAGTAGTCTTAGTTTATCATACCAAGCACCAAAAGTGATGTACATTGTAAATCTCCTTACATCAATGACAAGAGCGGTGATAAATAAAAATAATCCGCTATTGGTAAGATCCTGACGTACCGGAAAATTCTCCCAGCATAAAAAGAAACGTAAGAAGAGACATAGTAAGGAGAATTTCTCTCTCAATCTTGGGCTTGAATGTTTTCATGAGAAAGGAGTACCATATCGGCTAAGAGACTTAACATTGCTATACCGATAATAATCATTATATCGCACTCGTCTGTTCATTTGTTTTCCACTAACTTCAGTTCCATAATTTTTCTTTTTCCTTCCTGTCATTCAGATCTGTTTTCCGTCTTCACCTCTCTCATTCACTCCTTAAGTTCCTGTACTTCTCCCGATTACAACGTACGCGAGTCAATCCCAATTTACTACTCATAGTAGTCACGACGCTTCTCCTTAAAATCCAGCTCGGTTCTATTTTTTGTTTCACTCGATAGAAAAATCAAAATCGTTCAGTGTTCATGACAAGAGTGTCAACAGAATGTGGGCGCAATTCATGCAGAAGAATTTAAGAAAACTCTGCCGAAGGGACGCGCTTTGTCGCGGATGTTGCGAGGTTCTGTACGCTTGGGTAACTTGCACGCACGCACGCGAATCAGCTCTGTGCCTCGAGAGCTTGTTTCAAAGCCTCTTGTTGGAGCTCACTGAGTTGTCCGGCGCACGCCGTCCACATGTCAGCGGCGCTCTGAAAGAGATAGGCATATTCATTAACCCTTTACACTCAACATCAGTGCGCGTGCGCATATTCTCCATACTGCTCTCTACTCATTTCCTAAGGGGTTGACAAGGAGAATTGGTTTAACAATCAAGAGATTCTTTAGTCAGTGATCATTTCCTTTATTCTCATAATCTTAATGTTTGATTCTGGGGTGATATTGTAAAGAGATATTAGCTGCCAGTCACTTTTTGGGGTTGAAGAGTTAATGATAAGACAGGATACCGACCTAGAAATGTAACTTTCGATACGTTAAAGCCTCTCTCAACTCGGACTAAGAGCGTTATTTCACCAACACATTTATAATCGTCCGCTCTCTCACCTGTATTTGTCGTATGATTACTAGAACCCTTTTCCGGGCCGCCTCGTCGTCGCTAAGAACATCATTGATGAACAGTTCGCCAAAAATTTGGAGTATCCGAGGTAAGTTACTGTTACTTGTGCCCAGAACAAGAGGGTTATTTCTGTTTGAGTACAAAACAAACAACATCAACGACAATAAAATTTAACTAAGACATTAGTGCTTATGCCCAAAACGTCACGAGTTGATCCATGTAAAGTAAAGTGTCTTAAAGTTTTCCACCTTCCCCCGCCCCTCGCCGCACCAATTCTGAGTGGTGACTTGGCATTTTGTTGCAATCCTCAGAAGTATTCAGGGAGTTTGAGAGAGTCGCACCTTAAACGTCAACTGAATGGTGAAAGCGCTAACATCGGATCAACGTGGCCCCGAATCGAATCTTTCACTGTTCATCATGCATTAGCCAGTTCGATGTGTCTACATTAAGTTTTCATTCTTTTGTGGCTCTACAATTCCCGGCTTCTCCGTTATCCTTTCCCTCACAAAACCAAGCCACTTACTCTTCAATCAAATCACAGAGGTATCCATACACGTGTGGTGCTTCTTCTTTATCTTCCGTGATCGGTAATGCCGCAATGAGCGCCGGGACCACCTCATTCAGCGCGATATTCCCACGATTATATTTACAGATTTTTGCCACAGCAGAAATAGCATTCTCCGTGGCATTCACGTTCTCTCGACTTCTGGATTCCGGGCCGTTTATGACTTGGAAAAGCAAGGGTACAACATCTGAAACGTGAAAACATGGTTCAGTTTTAAAAACGTGATCTCGGGTAGATCGTATACTACGGAAAAGCGGCTCGGGAAGTATTCAAAGTCACAAAACTGGGTTTACACTCGGGAATATTTGAAGTAGACTGCGTATCTTATTGTCAATGACAAAATATCAGACCTGCACAGGCTGTGATATATTCCTCTCCACCATACTGAGCCATCACTCCGCATCCATAACACGCAGCCTATAGAATAAGTACACAGGAAGTGTTAATGATACGTTTTAGAACGCTTTTCGATTGAGTGCCATGTAACCAGAAACAAAGAAATCACATCCGCCAATCAGGAGAAAGGAAACTCCTCTCAGAGCTAAAGTAACTGAAACGACAAAACTGAATAGAGCGCGGGAAAGCGCGGGCGACCAAGTCCTGATTGGTTTTAGTTTTGTATCTAATTGGTTGAGAAAGAGGCGCGAGTTTTTTGGACCAATCACTGAGCGAAGTAAAGCAAAACCAATGAAAATTGCTCTACACTGTATGTGAAAGGATCAAAGTACCTCTGCCGTGCAGTTGTCAGTTCTATAACCGTAGACTGTACCTGTCTCACATCAGCATTTCTGTCAACCACATAATTCATCATCGGCCGTAGAAAGTACTCTTGATACTTGAACGACGCCTGACAGAACAGACAAATAATTAGCTTTCCTATTGGACTGAGGAGAAAAATAAGGTATTCCAAAACAATAACAGTAAAATATCTACCCTGTGTGGAGCCAGGGCAAGCTGCACTAGGATCACGACGATAATGATGAAGGTAAACCTGTTGTTTTTACCCTTCCTTTACGCGCTTGATACTTACAGATCCCGCATGTTCTATGACATCATCGAATATACATAGTGACCACTGCTTGTCTTGAGCGGATCCCTCTGGAGACTGTTAAAAAAAAGGGAAATAAAAAATAATTAGAAAGATAAACAAGCAAATAACTAAATTAATTTATAAAATAGTCCAACAAAGCAGCCAAATGCAGCCGTTTAACTGAAGGCGATGTTCAAAGGAAGTTTATGACCATAAACCAAGCAAATTGAAATTAAACTGAAATGAAAATGAAGGTAAAACAGTGAAACTGAAAACTGATCTTTCAATCGATCGTTGCTGACGTCACCATACTCACGTCAGTTTGACCAAACCTCAAACTCGCTCAAAGAAATGACGAGAAGAATCATTACTGAAAATTTCTCGAACTCACCAGTAAGGAGTGAAAATCCGGCAAAAGCTGCTCAAAGAAAGGCAATGCACCATCTTTGTGCGTACCAAACAAAGCGTGCATTATATCAGAAACCTATAAAAGCAGTACAAAATGATAAATGAAATGTCGCTGCAGTAAGATTCACTGAGGAGGGCGTGGTGACTAAGGTGGCAGGCGCGGTGGCCAAGCAGTGATGGCCATGAAATCCGCAAAGATAATTCATAAGTAGAAGAAACTGAATCTGATAGACTATAAGCTTGTTGAGACTCATGCGAGTAAAATTCAAGGTGAAATTTCAGTCAACTTACCTTGCTCAAGATGTGCACATCAGTCTCGTGCTAAAATAAGAATAAAATATATTACGTTTAAGAGAAGTAACAACAAAAGTAACAACAATCATCGAAAAGATCCGAGGTAAATAGTCAAAAATATACCTCGTCTTGCAAATCTTCCTCGACCTCTTCGTCGTAATCTTCTTCTTTTCTTCTTTCTGTGCAAAAGATGACGTTACGCAAACAAATCAACAAGTATAAAATAAATTGAAAGTCGAAAGAAAGATGTTTAACATTTGGTCATGATGGCAGGATTACGACGAAATCCGAGTTCCCAAATAGCTCTCAGTCCCAGCCAGTTCCAATTTTTATTTTTACTGTCAGATGCTCCAGCAACTAAGCCAGAAAAGAGACTTACCGGTGAACCAAGCTAGCCGTGTACTAGGTGCGAAAGAACTGGGTGCAAGTGAACTAGCAGTAATAATCACTTCAGAGTGATTCAAGTGATACTCACGCTGCCTTTCGATCTGTCTGTTTTTATGAGTGTCAATAATATCGTGCAGAATAGTTCCCAGCTCTGTGAAATAGTCAGCGGTCATGCACCCCACACCTAATGTCTCTATACACCGTGCCAGGGCATCCATGATCAAAATCTGAACTTCCGGTTCTGGTTCGGCACTCATGGCCTTTAGCACTTCCGGGCACATGTAGGCCCACATCTGACGGAGGTACCCGTCCCCTTTGATCTTGGCACACTCCAAGAGGAATGGCAACGATTCCGCTGCAGCCGTCCGCACAAGGTCGTGGAAGTAAAATTTCAAGAGAGGGACCATGAGTTTGACGACTTGCTCTGTGTACGGAGCAAATCCTTCTTTGAGTTCTCTGGCATAGCAGACCAACATCTGACAAGCGGTACTCTTGTCTTCCAGGCCAGCAGTCTTGATACCGAACTTTTGCTGATATTGTAAAAAAAAAAAAAAATCAAGCTGATTGCAGGAAATGATTGATGAGTGTACGTTTAAACAACTGGAGGTCTCACTTGTACGTCTCGAGTTGAGCACAAAATGTTCGCTTTTCTCCATCGTACTCTAGAGTCAAAAAAAGGGCACCTCATACACCTTACCGCTTCATTCTGCCATATCATCATTTAAACTCCTCGCGCAATTAAGAAACGAGTGTCTCGTAGTTAACTGTACTTTAAAACGAAATATTGCACTTGAACTCGACAGGTGATAGAAGTTGTACCTGATCTCCAAGGGTAATAAACTGCCATCCTTCATCTTCAGAATACTGGCCGCTCTTTGGATCATCAGCTACAGAAAAACAAAACAAAAAACAGATTTGTAAATTATTGTCTCACTTGGAAGCAGAATCGAAATAACGAGGCGTTTAACACAAAGAATGTTAAAATAAATCACACACCGTCGATGACTGCCACTTCTGGTTTGATTGACGCAGCTTTCATTACAGATGGCATCACCAGTGGAAGATACTGCGTGAATTCTGTTCCAAAAATCTTACACATCCTGGCCCAAGCGGAGATCATGTAGGAAATCTAACGTCACATAGAAAAACAATCCCTTCATGATGAATACATGAACGGGGACGTAAAGTAATGTACAAGATTTACGGTCTCTTAGACCATTTATCAGTTTAATTTCAGTCGGTCCTTCCCACACAAGTGGATCCCTTGCTCCAAACCTTTTCGAGGTAAAAAAAAAAAAGGGTTCGTCTGTCTCTGGCGATGGTGTTCGCAGCTCGTCGCGCCAATTTTGACTCACTAGTTTTCACCTGGGCTGGTAATTTAAAACTTTATTTCACCGAAGTTGCCTGGTTGCTGAGCTCCTAGGGGCTATACTGTATCCCGCGGTTTGTTCTCCCAAAACAATTTAGCATAAATCATAGATCTAGGTGTTCTTTTACAACACATCCTTGTTGCTTTTTAATTTACTCTCACTTTCATTGGGTGATTCTCTACTCTATCAAACGAACATTTTACGGAAATTTCTCTTTTGCGGTGGATTCTCAATGGCGCTAAAAGTGGCACATGAAATTGTTATATACATGTCGCTCCCTCATCGCTCCGTTTGACGCAACAATAATCTTGCTGTACGAGGGAGAGAATGTAGAATTGTCCATTTTCACCTAAAAGGTGTTTATCTTCAAGCCAACCCACCTGAGGATCGTCTGCCTCTAGTTCTTCCATCTCAGTTTGAGTTTTGAGCAACAACTGCATCACATCGTTAGCATCGGGCAAGAACTAAACAAGATAAAAAAACAGTGTGGGATTTAACAGTTTGAACATGTACACTTAAAAAGTCACGTGCGAGACACTAGGGCCCAATGGTCATCGCGCTGAACTCTCAGTCGAGAGGTCTGGGTTCGAGCACTAATCGGGGTCATACTGTTGGCTTATTAGACATAAAATTTTTACTCTCACAGAGTCTCTCTTAACTCAGGAGTATAAATGGACACCGGCCGACGGTGACGGACTAAAATCCAATTCAGGACGAGTTGCAATAAGTTTTAGTTGCTTTTTGCTATGGAAACCGAGATAAATTAAGACCACGCGGCGTGGTCTATTTCAATTGCGTGCAAAGAAGATCATGTTTAACAATCTACAACAAAAATCTTTTAAGTTCAACACAACAGCCTATAAAAAACATTTCTTAGAAAACTACTGTCAATACTGAATCCACGTACCTTTTCCTTCCCTACGGCCAAACCAATCAAGCTGATGCATTCGATGGTTTTCCCTCGCAGCATGCGGTAATCAGATGACAGAGCATTCTGCATGATGTACTTAAGATTTGGCATGAAGCGATCATAGTAGTGCAGGAATTTCTCCTCGGCAGTGTCTGCAACTGTGGCTATGGTGGTCACAACCTGCTCTAGAACTAGTTTTCCACCACGTTCAAGCAGCTGTTAAAAAACGAGGTGGCGTAAAATATATTTTACTACACATAAAAACCAACACCTGCAACAAGCAGATACGTTTTATTTGAAGAAAATTCTGCGATGACCTCCCTTAAATACTTAAACATATTTTTCATGGCTTAGAGAATATTTATTTACCAGAGGTAAAGGGTAGAATATAATAATGAACCTACCTCCCTTAGCTTTGAAGCCAGCACAGCTTCAAGTTTTGCCAAGATGTCATCAAGATAAGACGCCAGAATATTTTTGGGGCAATCATCAGAGAAATTAACCAAAGCAGCAGCAGCGTGGGCCTGGACACGAGGGTTGGCAGTGTCGTCCAAAACAACCAAAAGGCCTGGGATCACCTATAAATATCCGACAATTAAACACACCCAGGAGAAACACACAGAGAAAAAAAGTTACAATGTACCAACAATTGCCAACGAAACTGTTAATTTCCAAATACGTCTCCCCTTCCATCCTTTTATCAATACAGTTTTTAGAATGATTTCCTTTATTAAGTAAGAAACAACACTGACTAGGAGGAATGGGGGAGGACAAATTGATTTATGAAGTTGGCAGAAAAGTTGCCTGTCACTTAAAATACAAACAACTGAGAGAATCAATTTGCCGAGATAGTTTTTGTCTATGATTGCAAATACTAACATTTTTTAAATACCTTTCATGAGACAAGACTCGTGTACCTCAAGACAACAACTTCCTTACTCAAGCCAAGACCTTCATCTCTAGAGATACTTATTTTGCAAACACAACTGTACCAAAGACAGACACTACAATTTTAAATTGTACTGTCCAAGTGCCACTCTGCTGTCTCATCCCAGTGACTACAGAGATGAAAACTATCTCTACAATCATTAAAATTTCCACTTACTCGAGTGTGGAATTTCTTTTGAAATCCAGGTGCAAAGTCAGTAGAAAGCTGTCCCACTGCATTACAGGCAGCATATCGCACACGCGGATGGGTGTCACCCAAGAAAGGTAAGACAGTGTTCACAATATCTGGGAGTAAAGCCTCCATCTGTTTATAGCAACCTTCACCCACTGCAGAGATTGCCATTAGACCAGCATGTCGGTACCTCCAGTCAGCTACAAAATGGAGCAGGAATTAGGAAAAAAAAAGTATAACTATGAAATAATATAATTAGAGACTTGTAACACATATATACCAATAAACTCACCATTCTGCAACATCTGTGGCACTGTAACAATGATGTGTGGTAAAACTGTTTTTCCACCCAAACCACAAGCCAGTCGATCAAGAGAACTCTCTCCTGCTACAGAGTTACTATGGAGGGATTAACAAAATATATATTTTTTCCACTTGTAAAATTGACCTTCATTATCTATGCTCACATTTATGAACTGCAGAGATGACAAAAATGTTCAAAACTTAAATGAAACCAAGAGGCCCAGCCAAAAAGTCTCAAGCAAAGTTTCATCATTGATTACTTATCAATTTTGGTTAGTGTAAAAATAATAATAAACATGCCAGCTGTGCTAATCAGAATTAAAACTGTCCTGATTTGATGACCAAGTTTAAAAATAACTTATTTGTTTTATTCCATGAATACCACTCTGATTAGAGGAAGCCACAACTAAAATTTTTTTTCATTTAATCAGAAATTTAATTCCTGGTACCAAACAAATATACCTTTCAGAGTCGTCATCTTCAAGTTCATCAGACACACTCCATTCTGGGTCGTCTTCAAGATCAACCATCATGGCCAGCATCTCTGGAACTGCAATATCATTAATTGTTTGATCTCTAAGTTAGTATGTGTGCAATGATTGATCAATTTGGCAGGGCATAATTCACTGCCAGGCTGGCTAAATTCAAAAGTTTGTTCAATCGAAAATTTCCCACTCTATAAAAATGACAATAGCATACAAATAACAAATTGGAAAAAGAAAAAAAGTTGAAACTAAAAATGCACCAAAAAAAGAATTTTCACTCGACTAACCTATAATTGGAATATGCTTCTGACATTTCCTGAGCATTGCTGGTGCTATAATGAAACGCAATTTAATGAAAATTAAGAATAACCTTTCTAAAGGAATGTATGAGAAATACTGTCGGGCATATGTGCAAGTACTTTTCATAAGTTATACAGTACCAAAATCAAACCACTGAAGTTTATAGAAGGAAGTGTTTTGTGGAAAGGCAAATTTACAGACCTGTTTCTGCCAGAGTGACAACACACTCCAGGGACAAGTGTCTCCAACTTTCAAGAAGATTTGCATTGCGCACAATCTGTAAAAGGTAGGTACAAGTCTTATTAAACCCAACACCCACCAATGACAATCTAGTTTCAACTCTCCCTCTTCACCTATTTGTACTCACCATCAGATGAGACTTGACAATATATAAGTTACAAGTTAAACTTGTTTTCAGGAAAGTATTCCTATTAGCTTTGTTCATGATAACAACTGTTGCGAGTATTTCAATGTTTTTCATAAGTAAAACCCACCGATGCTTACATTTTCAGCACGTTTCTCAGGTAAAGATTATTGACCAGAGACTTAAGTGCAAACAACCAAACCAAAAATCTTTGTACTCTACCTAGCAACAAAATCATCTCTCTTAAGTCAGCAGATATTCATTAGAAGGACTTTAAAACTACATACCTCCAACATCAAATCTAAAATGGACTCCAAGTTTGTCCTAAGAAGCTTAGGACAAGTGTCTGCTAAATCAATTAAACATTTTAACACTGAATCATCCACACTTGCAACAACACTCTCCCGTACAGCCTGAGATAAACAAGAAAATATTTTTGTGACTTAACATATATGAACTAAATCATGTCTTCTAACCTTTCACTCACAAGATCTCATTAGTAATCCTTCTCACAGCCTGCCATATATTTCTCATTGTGTGAGTTTGGAGATTTTGACCTGGATCACCTAATAATCCCCTAGTTGATATTTTTCATTAATCACAATCTCTTGTCTTCTTGAAATTGTACTGATATTGTTTGGAGAAATTCTGTCTTGGTCATTCATGGGAGTTAAAGGGTTAAATCGTGGAAATTCATGTCAGTGAATAAATTTATCCTATGTCAGGTGTTAGGTTCAGCCTGTGCAATCCCAGGAAAGGAACCTGACAAAAGAATTTCAGGTGTGAGCAAGACTTAAATGGGTCATACTGGTGTGATTCTGGTGTGATTGTAAGGCAAAAATGGCTAAAAGTCCTCTGAGGTTAGAGGCAAAACAGTTGTATACAGTTAGTTCATATATTTCCACACAAGAGATGAATGAATAATTAACCTGCACACTCCCATGTCCAGTGGCTTTAAAATGCAACAGGGTGGTGCAGTGCAGTGCAGAATTGCAAGGCCATCAACTTGGTATCCCACATTATTTCACCCTGCAGTTCTTCTGTTGCTTTCAATAGGGATCAATTTATATGACAGTAGATAACCGGAATAAACACTTGTAGTGGCAGGACTTGATGATATGGGAACACTTGGAAACAACTGAATAAATTTACCCTCAAATCTGATGAACAAAAATTCATCATTTTCTTGCCAATTAATGGCAAGAAATAACCAAAAATTTTGTTTTACTTTAATTTATAAAGTAACTTCCAACTACCTGGACTATTCCTGGGACTAAATCCACAAACTGTCGCTGTTTGACTTCCTCCACTTGATCTGTGATAAAAGCAACTGAAGCGCGGGCTGACATAAAACGAACCTGCAATAACCAAAAAAAATGTAAACATGTATCAGACCCAAGATAATCAAGAAGACAAGTAATGAGAATGGAGAAAAATATCAAATGGGGGATTCTTAGCTGATCTAATACAAAATTCTATGAACTAACATCATCAGGACTATATGGTAGACAGTGAGGGGGCTTATTAATGATTTTTGGGTATTGTCCATGATGTAGACACAATTATGAAGCAGTGTGGTATTAACCTGTTGGCTGGACTGATCCTGCAGACATTGCCACAGCATATGTTTGATAACCTGCATGTAATGTTCTTGTTGTGTTCCAAATATTCCAGGGAAAGATCTGTTATGAGAAAAAATTTAGTATTCGAACAAGACAATGGAAAGACATTCTCCTAGAGAGGATATCACTGTAGAATATAACAAAATTGTGTTTTTCAAAAATAACTAATATCACTCTAAAATTGTAATATTCAGTCTCACTATTTCTACTGGATGTGTTAATTGACCATGGGCTTTGCTCTTTCACAAATGTCCACCAATAGAAATCTTAAGGTTCCCTCACATCACCTGCGATGCAGATTATTTGTACACCCTCTATTTCAACTGTTAGAAAAGATTACCACGTCAGACTACCAGACAAGGAGGTGATGAATGAATAGAACACTTACACAAAAATATGGAGAGCACATTCTTTAAGCTCAGAATGCTGGGAGTTGCAACACTCAAACAGAAACTTCAGAAGTTCTTGCCAGTGATTGTATCCTTCCTCATCTGAAAAAAGAGAAAATAAAATCCGTGTCAAATGTAAAATAAATGATTTACTTGTATGATAATGATACACATTGATTGCAGGAACTTGACATGAGAATATAGGTGGCCCTTTTAAGTGGCTAAGAGCTACTGTACTCAAAAAATGAGATTTTTGATAAACACAAATGTGCAGTCCACATCTGTTCTTAAACAGACCCTTTCTACTAGAAAAAAAATTGTTTGAATTATTAAATTCCTGTAGAACAACAAGTACCTTCACAACTTACCTAGAAGACTTCTGGATAATTCAGCAACAGCATCGCACACCTTTTTTCTTACTGCTTGGGCTTGTTCCTCATTTATGGCCTTGAGTAAATCATTCTTCATTTCTTGCTGAAAAGCTTGATCAAGTTTGTCGTAAAAATCCACTGAGCTTGAGAAAATCCTTCGTAACAGCACAGCTGACATCTGACGCACCTTAATCAATAAATGTTTTTGATAAAATTATTAAGCTTAAAAAATGATACAGTGGGCAAAGAGAAAAACCTATGCATTTTCATGAATAAAAATATTATACCAAAATCTCCAAAAAATATCAAAACATCACTTAGAAACAACATGTCTTTAATTTTACCCTATTGCCTTCATTTCTTACCTCTGCAATGGCTGATGTTCTTATCATCTGAATAAGGAATTTAATTTTTGTTGGCTCATTAATGGTTTCATAATGTGTCTGAAAGAAAAAAAAGAAAACAAAAGATTTTACTAAACAGTAGAAACTAAATTTTTAATGTAACATAAAATAGATATCGCAAAGCCACCTTGCATTGATAATGATTAAGCTATCCAACTTTTCCACTACTGTTATCAAATATAAACTACTATGTTTCAACATGGTGAATTCAATGTATCAAGAAAAATTTCATGTCAAATTGACAAGGAAGAAAAGGTTTTTAATTTTTAATTTCTTTGGTTTCTAGTTATTAATTTCCTGTAGTAGTTTTGTCAAGTAGTCTGATAGTAGTATTAGTTTGTGAACTAAGTTTTGTGAAGCTTCTTTTGGTGTTTTTTGTTTTGTTTTATGCCAAGTGTACAAAATCATCTAAGCAAATAAAAATATTTTGAAAAAAGATAACTAAAAAAGGATCATACAACCAAATTATTCAGGATCTGCTTCAAAACTCAAAAAAAGGGTGATGATCATTCCACCAGAACTAAACAAAGATTTCAAGTGCACAAGAAATTATCATTTATGAATTTTCCCACTTCAGATGTGTTTTGGGACATACTTGTACTCAGGTGAGATTTTTACTTTTTTATGGTTTTCCTTTATGGTTTAGTTCTGTTCTACAAATTGCACCCAACTATGAATACAATTCATGGTAATGAACAAAATAATCACTAAAATAATTAATTTAATAGTGAAAATCAAAGCGTCTTAAGGAACCAAGAATCAGGATTTTGTATTATTTTACACACAAGTCAATTAACTATCAAAAGTACTTAAAAATAAGACAATGTTTTCATCTTCTTTTTGGGGCAACTTATGTAAACAAAATAAAATCATAACAGAAAATATGCAATCTCAGTCATGTTTCCTACACACAGGTAACTTTTACCATAACTTTCATTGTTAGTGATACAGCAAAATGAAAAAAGCCCTCTACTGGAAGAGACTTCCCTTGAAAAATTCATTACAATTAAACATGGATTTTCTTATCAATACGTGGATTATCATTCAAAGTTTACTGCAATTAAGTTTACATTCAACATATGACTGATACATATAATTTTTTTGCATTTACATGGAGCACTCTGACTTGTGTTGTCAAACCTTATTTTCAACGACAGAGATCTATTTCCAACGGGATTTGATATTGCCGGTCGCGTAGCATGGACAACGACGGTGAATAACTTTTTGACTCCAATTCTAATTAACTAGCTTTTAATACCACGAAAGCACATGGAATCTTGTTTAACTGCTTTTTCGTTCATTTTACTTTTCTGAGCGGCGAAGAACCTGTTGTATTCCTCGGATGTTTCTCTAATAATTAACTAACAACCTAAAACGTATTTAATTTGATCCTGACTGTTCTAGGAAATAAATAATCGTATCAATATGTATGTAACAAATACATTCGAAGGTATACACTTTAATATCGACCTTTGTTTAAAGGAATACAAACTCAAGTACGATTTGAGAGGTTTAATATTACCTTAAATCGTTTCCAAAACGATCATAAATCACTGTATGACCTTGCGAAACCCGGAAGAATTCATTTTGTGCAAGATCGTGTCTTTTAAGCGATATGCAGTAGGTGCTCTCGGTGATAACATTGAAAACTTGGGCGAACATTTAAACAAAACAACCCGCTCTTTTGATTTGGAAGCTATAGTTACATTAAAGGGTTTTATATAAGTTTTACGTAATGATAATAGCTGGAAAATTGTGAGACAGCTGAGGAAAAAAGCCAGGTTTTGTCATGCACATGGTTTGAACTCCTGCCGACGATCAGCGGTTCTCAAGGACGTTCCCGGCAAGAACCCACACCGTAGTTACTCACCTTTGTAATTTCACGAAAATAAATCACACAAGAATAGGAGAGATTTTCCTACCTCTGCCTGATTTCTGATGTTATTATCAGGAGACATCAGCTGTGTTACGAGAGATTCAAACTGCTGCTGGTCGTTCGCCATTACGGCCACCATATTGCCCAACCTATGATTTGAGCGCATGCGCGTAATCTTCCCTGAATGAAACATTTTGGCGGCGAAAGAATTGTTCAAATTTTGGCGCGATCATTTGCAACATTGTCAGAACCTGATTGTTTACCATGAACTCCGACGGTTTTGTGTTGAATTCTTAGTGGAGTATCGAGGTCCTGGACCATTACCAGATCTTGATATCACTACCCCGACAACGACGAGCGATGTCTGGCGCTCGAATCAAAAATTAGAAAAAAATATGCAAGGGTTCTGCGTGAACGCGACATGTTTTCTCGCTGATTTTTTTTCTTTTAAATCGCGCGATGAACTTTGTCAAAAAGAGTTCCTACTTTATCAAGTTTCCTCCCCGCGAACAAGCGAAGTCTTACACCCAATGGCCATTTAATGTCACTGAGCACGAACAAATAAATAATAACCTTTCCAGTTTATTTTATTTATTGATTCAACTAATTTATTATCGTTATTTCCCAGGGAACGCACAATTCATCTAAGGAAGAGTGGTATGTATAATAGAGCACTAAGGTTTAGCCAAGAGCCCGAACCTGTTTCTTGGCTATTGCGCATGTACTCCTTATTTCGATAGTATAAGTTTGCGCATGTACTCCTTATTTCGATATTTTCGATGATTTTATCAACTGAGAATGTTAACGTAAATTGGCCATCGTGAAGAGTTTGTAAGCTGTCGTTTTAAAGGACTAACGATCAACACGTCAGCTTACAAACTCTTTACGGTGGCAAATTAACGTTATCACTCGATCTCAGTTGATAATACCGGCTAAATTATTTTGTTATTCTCCCTCGTCGACGCAGCACCACAGTTTGGTTAGAAACACACTTCCTATAAGTTGTCCTAACTCACGTTCTGTCTTTTTGTCTCCATCGCTGCAACCGTAGTACATGCCAGTTTAATTTGTAAAGCTTATTCCAACATAACAAGAAAGCATAAACTCATAGTTTTATATTCATAGTCTAGAAACATTTTGTCGCCTCTATCCCCCTCAGGACTACCCTACGTATGCCCTAAGTGATACAAAATAATTGTCTATCGAAAAGGAAACTTTACAAAAATGATAAATTGGCTGTGCGTATCAGTGTGGACCGACAACATTTTGTAAAAGGAATTTTTTGAAGACACTGACAACGGCTCTTATTATCTGCTGACAAGGGTAATTATATTGTAGAAAAAAGTTATGGACAAACAGCAATATCATGACAAAGCATTGTCCCTGCTCAATGAAAAAAGTACGTATGCAGTCTTAAACTCTGATCCTAACAGTAAAAACTCAAAGAGAGTTTAAAAAAATGTTGCTTGATTTGAGAAAAGCTGGTAGGATTAGTAACTATACGTACAAAATGTTAAACAGTATTGGCAGCTTGTGTCCAAGTTTTTACGGCTTACCTAAAATTCATAAGCCGGGAATTCCTTTGAGACCTGTTCCTTCTTTTGTTAATTCTCTGACTTATGCAATATCTGGTTATCTTGCGAGAATTTTGTCGCCTGTCGTTGGGACTGTCAAAAATTCCTGTGAATTTGCGGATTTCACAAAGGAGAAGGCTCCTAACGCCGGCTTTCGACGTTGTTTCGCTCTACGCTAAAATCCCAGTTAATCTTGCCGTTAAAGTTGCGAAGGAGAGACTCAGAGAAGACGCTTCCCAAGGACAAAGAACTTCTTTGCCTATGGAGGATATAATTCATCTGTTGTCTTTTTGCCTCAAAACTACGCAATTTGTATACAACGATACCTACTATCAACAGGTTTCTGGTACAGATACGGGTTCGTCCGTCTCTGCCCTCATTGCCAATATGGTTATGGAGACGTGGAACAAAGGGCCTTAGCCTCTCTACCGGTTAAACCCTTGTTCTGGAAACGATATGTCGATGATGTTTTTTCTGCGGTATCCGCTAATGAAGCGGAACACCTTCTGTCGCAGTTTGAATTCAGTGGAGCCTTCTATTCAATTCACCCTTGAAAAGGATAGACACTTGCCCTTTCTTGTGTGTAGAGCGGAACAGGGGAATTTAGAGACAAGTGTTTATCGTAAACCTACCCACACCGACAAATACTTCGCTTTCGACTCTCAACACCCGGGCCTATTTGCCATAAAAAGTCTGTAGCTAAAACGTGACTCAGGAGGGCTGACTGTCTTCCATCCTTACTTGATTCGAAGGCCGAGGAGAGAAAATGTTTCTAAAGGTAAATGGTTATACCAAAATTTTTCTCCGTAACTGCCTGAAACCAGTTACAACTAGTAACACTCCTGATGAGAAGGAACCAGCGACTGGTTTTGCTGTTACCCCTCACACTCAGGGCGTTACGGAACCCATCAAGAGAATTTTGAATAGCCACAACGTTCAAGTTACTCAAAAACCTTTTCCAGACTTTGAGGCATGTTTTTGCTAAACCTAAGGATCCTGTCACGAAAGAACAACGAACCGACGCTATTTATTCCGGCTATTCCGTGCAATGACTGTGATCGAGAGTATATCGGACACAATCGTCAGTAAGGTACACGTTTGAAAGAGCATCAAAAAGCGGTCTTCTTCAGCAAAAAAGAAAATTCAGCTTCGTCGGAGCACACATCCCTAACTAACCATACAATTGGGTAGGATAAGTCTAAAATTATCACCACTAATCGACGTTACCACCTACGCCTTTGTTTGGAAGCTTTACATATCAACTCCGCCCACGCTTCTTTAAATCCTGATGATGGCGGCTAACTACCTGACGCCTATTTACATCTCGTCAGAAAAAAAAAGCAGCTAATTAGTGAGCATATAAAAGGAACTCTTGTTGCAGCGATTAGATCACCCCCGACACTAGACAGGAGTGTCGAAACGTTGGGTCTATGAATTGTAACTTCTTTGTTACATTCATTTAATCTTTACACCAGAATTGCATCAAACCATGTCTGATTGTCCACCTGGTTGCCTTGTGAATTTTAATACATCAATTTTTCTTCTCTTAACTTTCAAAGCAGATAAATATTAATTTCCTGCAAAAAGCGTTTGCTTATCAATAGTGCATATTTGCGAATTCGCTCGGTAGCCAGGACACAACCAAAACGGTTCACATTAGCCTAAATTATGAATAAAATTTTTGAATAAGTTTACCTCCAAATTAACTCCCCTTTCTTGAACAAATATCAAAACTTACCAGTTTAAGAAAGCCACTAAAACTATGAAAACGATGGAGTGAATATTTCGTGACCTTTCAAGTGGTTAAAGCAGTTTCCATGCCTCTCATTTACAGTCACATCGCAGCCTTCTCCAAGTTCTTTTTTTTTTAAGTACTTTGAATTCAGTTAATTCAAGACAAATATGAGAAAAAAGTCTTGATATGGCTTATCGCGTTCAATTACAATAGTTACATGAAGGTAAAATTTGTCCTGCATATTGCAAACGGGTCCTGAAAAGTAAGGTCAATATTCACAGTGCATCCTCCCGGCTCGCTGCTGTTGATTCTGGATCTGTGGAGTTCGATCTTCCTCTTCGTCTTCCTCCTCTCAAAATGCGGTATCTGATTAAAATCGTTGTCACGGCTTGAGCATATTTCGGAATTCTCCAAGCATACACAAACGGGTCCACACAAGCGTTGACAAATACAAATCTAAATGCGATTTGAAGAGACCTCACTAATTCTATTTTACCTTCCCCGGCTGAACATAAATTTCTTAAGTTTATTGTGACAGTGTAAGGCAAAAAGACCACAAAGAACAATAATAAAATGGTGACAAATGCCTTCGTCGTCTTCTTTTCACTTTGAGCTCTTCTTAATTCGGTTTGTTCGACGCTGCAACCCAGACATGCAGTTCGGAGCCGCGCCTGCTGTTCCAGTAACCTAAAAGTTCTCAAGTACAAAGCCGGGAGCACGAGAAGAGGCACAGAAACGTGTAAATTGCAGTATAGCAACTCAAAAATCCGTCGAGGTATCCCTGGACAAAACAAAAAACTGGTGAAAACGACAGCGTAAATCCAGATCGTGACTATGAGCGCTTTGACACGTTTAGCTGAGACAACTGATCGATAGTAAAGCGCCGAACTCACAGCCAGCCATCGATCACACGCCATTGCTACGACATTACAACAAGCTACAACGAGACTGATAGCGATAATTGCCAGAGTTACAAGTAAAAAATTGTCAGTGCTCTCTTCTGACATGCCGGAGAGTCGAAGTGAGTCGTAAACCATCAGCTGGTATGCGCAGCAAAATCCAGTGAGAAAATCTGCTACAGCCATATTTATCACCAATTGTGTGCTTGGGGAGCGACGTAAATTTCGATGAGGATCTTTGAAGATAGTAAACAGTAACAGGAAATTTGCAACGCTGGCCGTTGTTCCCGATATGATGTCAAATAAAATAAACGATAGACGAAACACATCAACACGAGAATCAGGCGGAATTGCTTCAGAGTTATGGCCTGGAGCTACTGAAGAGTTCATCTTAGTGTTAAGTTATGGTGGTCACTCGGATTACTGTTGGAGAGTTGAAGAAACTGTCCCTATATCGTGCAAATTAGTCTTATCATGAAATTGGCTCATTGTATTCACCGTTTGTCATGATAAACAAAGTCGAGGATAGATGCAAATGCAGTTAAATGTTGATTTTAAATCGGTACCGTCAAACTGAATCCGCTTCAGAAACAGATAGAATGCAGAAAATTCGGAAAACTTTTCAAAAATAAAAATTAAAAGTATTTAGAATAGTAAAACTGTTTTCTGTTTCGCAAAAGTATCCCCATTAAATAACTGATAAAATAAAACATTAAATTTTATGAATACAATTTGTATGAATTGTACAAATTAAACGCCACACAGCTTCCTATGAATTCTTGATTCAATTTCTTCACCTACCGGTACTCATTTCTCCAGAGGGGATCCTTGCAAACATCAATTATTTACAAAAATTTGTATCACGCGACAATGCTACATGTTTTCACAGTATTTTCAAGATTTCAACACGATACATCTCTTTAAGACCGGTGCTAATTACATTAACAGTTTGTAAAATTTACATCAGGAAGGTGTAATACTGTTAGTTATGCGTAATTTAGTGTTAACAACTTAGTTGAAAACGTAAATTAGCCATCGTAAAGGGTAAAAAAGCTGACGTTTCGAGCGTTAGCCCTTCGTCAGAGCGATTGGAGGAATTGTGGGTTGTGTGTGGGTTTATATGCGATGTGGAAAGAAATGACAAGGACGCATCCAAACCAGTCGCTAGACACTTTAATCTTCCCAATCATTCTAAACAGCATATGGTAGTCTGCGGCCTTTCCTAACATCTAGGCAGTTCGGAAAGCCGTAAAACACTGGAACAAAAATTTATCTTCCAAATCGGCACCCTTCATCCCCACGGAATCAACGAGCGCTTTCATTCAACTAATTTACTCCTGTTTTCTTGTCACCATATACCCACCAATGGCGTAGCTCCACTTTCTGCATATAAACCCAGACACAACCCACAATTCCTCCAATCGCTCTGACGAAGGGCTAACGCTCGAAACGTCAGCTTTTTTACCCTTTACGGTGGCTAATTTACGTTTTCAACTCAGTTGTTAACACTAAATTACCTGCTATACTCTCCCACCGACGCAGCACCACAGTTTTTTTAGAAACTTACCCCTTTACTCTTATGTTAGTTATGCGTGTCGATCGTGGATAACAGTCTAAAAAAATTAACATGTAAAATGACTTAAAATTGATCAAAATAAAAAAAAGTCCGGATTTGACTTTCTAATCTGATTGAAAATGATAGCACATTTCGATTTTTCTATTGTTAGTGATCATGCATGAGCCCAAAATTTTCTACTTCAATTTTAAATCAGGCGTTAAGCCCTGGATGTTTGTCATCTTTGCAGAGCGTTATGTACTGGGATACACAGTGCGAAAAACAGATTTTTTTGGAAGGTGATCTTCTTTTAGTATGTGCGTGTGTTTAACTATTCATATAATCAGGATCAATATCTTTTATTTCCATTTATTACCATTAACACCATCCATTAGAGAATCAGCATGCATATATAAGGTTAAGAACACACACATGGCATTAAATTAAACCGTGTTAAGCTAATGTAAGGATCTGCTCGGTGAGACCCAGGCCTTATTTGAATCACAGGCCCTTCCTTCAATTCAATATTATTGACTTTGTTCAGTTAGTATCCTGAGACAGTCACCACCGACAATTCACCTATCTTGCTTTGATATGTAGCAGCATGTTTCTTGGTCCCAAGGCTCCTATGCCCAGAGTATATGGTTCTCCTTCACTTCCCACTGGTTATAGCGAAATATAAAATGTACTTAAATACAAAACCGCCCTAAGTGAAATATAATTGGCCCTAATAATTGTCTGTCTTTCTAGTTCCATCGAAAACCTTTACAGACACCGTCATTTCGTGCGATATATTTAGTTTATATTGTAGCAGGTAATCTCCCCGATTGTGATCTTTACAGCTCGCCTCACTTCTCTCATCTTGTAACAATAAAGAAACGGGTTCAAGGAAGAATTAAAGTAGGTAAGGGTTACAACAAAATTGCGCGCTATTTCCATGACACTCCCAGATAATCCTCCATGAATTCTTAATGTCGCTACGACACCAAATGGGACATAGCACAAGATAAAGGCAACTTGGACCCACCATATGCTTTCAACGGTTTTCCTATATCGCGCAATGTTCAATGATGTTCTTCCCGCATTTGTTGCCCCTAGTTGAAAGTGTTCTCGTATATGTACTTGTGCTTGCAGATGGCGAAGTTTGAGGTAGATCTTGGTGTACGAAAAACTTGAGATCAACAGCAAAATTATTAAGGAAACTAGGACGAGAGACCAGGCAATGTCGAGTCTCCAGATGTATATCAATCCACAAGACGCTCCAATGAACCAAAAAGAAAAAATGAGGAGTAAAACACATCTTACTGTAACAATGTGCTTGTATCTAATACCCAAAAACAGCGCAAGAAGTCTGTCTACACTGACTGCACATGATGTGAACACTGACACTGTACATAAAAGGTAACTTGAAAACGATTTTATATTTGTAATGTAAAGTAACACTCCTGAGTCCAAGTCGTTTGTGGTGGAAATGCCAGCAATAATGGTGACAGCGAAGAGTGGCTGTGGTATAAAACCAACAAAGATGTCCGTGACTGCCAAACAGCTAAACAAAAGTTTGGTCGGGGAATGAAGAGACAAAACTTTTCCAAGAGCTTTCAGGATCAGATAGTTGCCAACAATTGCCGTGACGGAGAACAGAATATTTGCAGCGGAAAGAATTACAGCTAAAGTTAAGTTTCCATTATCGGCTGTGAAATTCGACATTGTTCCGTTATGTTACGAAATAACACAACCGAAAGTAAGTGTCGGAATGTTTTGTGGCTATAGTAGATACTGCACGGTATGCTCAGTCGATGTTCTCACCAGACGAAATTACAGAATAAAACACCTGAAAGAAATCCGACGATAAAGATTCAGCTCAGCACCTTAATCTCAGAACCTTATTGATCAAGCGAACAGAGTTGACGCGTTATCGATCAAGCAAACAGAGAGTTGACGCAATTAAATTCAGGCGGCTGCTTGCTAGACATGGTTATATTTATTTTATGCCACTTAACGTCATCCTGAAAAAGGGCTATCATGCTCAAAATGTGTTCAATTCTGGCATTTTACTTACATACTTACAAAACTTAAATAATGAATGTTGATTCACAAGGGGCAGTGTTCCGGAGTAATATTTATTCTGGCTGCATTAGCTGTCCTTCGTATTCCCCTTGAAGCGTTAAAAAGCGCCAACATATTCGTGATGAAACTAAATTAAATAATAACCTAATCAAAGCACACTTTTGGAAACATTTTAGATTAAAAATTAGCGGAAATATACAACTTTTCGATAGCATCTAAGTATATACAAAAAAGAGAATAAAGTAGCTGAATACATCCGCACGAGCAGAATGCTAAAATCAACACCCAATATAATCGATCTCTGTCAGAGCTGAAGGTTTAGTTTGAACATGGTAATGTAGTTGTTTAAACACCTAAGTTAACTGTCAATTTAAACTTTCTTTGTCTCTACTCATCTCCGCTCTTTTCTTAATTTCTTTACCTGAACGTGTTGAAAAAGATAACTGAATATGTCAAGATACTTACACTATCATCAAAGAGTGATTGATATAACACACCAGATGTGCAGCAAACCTGAATTTTTCCAAGCCCTCAGTGATAATCATGACACGTAGCATATAGAGCTTCTTGGTCAATGTTCGTTATAAATATTCTATCCTTTTATTCATTTTTTGCGTTTGTATTATTCAAAAATTGTATGCTATGTTCCCGTGTTTACTACTGGTCTCATTTTTGTAAACGACCTGTACGCAATTGAATTTAATGAAATTGCGCTTCGCCAATTTTCAAGACTCTTCTATAAAACGAGGTTCAATTAAATTCTTTCATCCCATAAAGAATGCAATTTACAGAGAAAATGATGCTCCTCGTTCTTACTCAAAACATAAAAAAACGTTGTCTCCTGTAAACTGAATGGTAACGCTACATTATTATAAAAGTATTGTGCCAAACGTCTAAAGTTAATCTACCTGTACTATGGAAATGCTCGAGATTAAGCAAGATTTGTTTGTCGATCCATACCAATGGCAGTCTCAGCATTACAAGCCTGCTTTTGGCATTTAAATACAAACCACTCTAATTTTTTCTATACGGATAGTTCAATTGTAAATACACTTTCTTTTTTATCAAAACAAAAGACAAGCGCTAACATGTTTTTCCTACACCAGTTCCTTCCTGAAACCTAAAGCATCATTGATGATTACTTCTTGCCAATGAGGATTTGCGCCCGTGCTTTTAAGAGGCGCCTAAACAGTTGAGCTATCAGGTAGCCTTGGCTTTTAGCCGGCGACATTTACTTTCACCTGCCATTTTGGTGAGAGGCAATTGGTTACGAGCTTGCATGGGAGGAGTAATTAAACTAATGCGGCTGCTCATTATGCCGCAATGACGGCTGCATTGGCCTACTGCGTTTCACTGACACTTCAGCTTTTCAGAAGGAAAAATTAAAACAAATACTTATCGATTTACCCTATTAAGCGATTTTAGATTCTCTGGACGTATTGATAAATTTAAACATGTTCAGTACCAGACAAGTTCTTCTCGTGTATAAGGAAACCACTACATCTTTGAAGGATCGTAAAGAACAAAACAATTCATATTTACTTTTTTGCTGATTACATGATATCCATCTTAAGGTTTTCGATTCATTCATTCATTCATTCATTCATTCATTCTTATCGCCTATTCATCCATTATTCTGTCTGTCTATCTATCCATCTAAATCTACCATGGGGGATGTTTAATACTTCAGCTTTAGCAATTTTTGCATCAAAACAAATGGAACATTTTCCTGTATCACCTGTTATATTATGCACTAATGGCGTATCTCAGTAACATGAAACTGCATATATTAATTTTTTTAACTTCTAAATTTCATTTGAAGAACCAAGTCATTGACACACGACAATTTCGTACGAAGAGAAAATAATTATTTTCTTTTGTTGGCGCCTAATCCATTGGTAAAAATATCCGAGAAATAATCAATCTTAAGATAGTATTCACGCGATGGATATGTATTCATTTCTGTTCATGTCCTTTGAGAAGGATGGCAGTAAGAATTATCGATTCAAATTGTAATTTATCGCACCCCACAGTTCTTCATTGACGGCTTTTATCCATGAAAGTGGGACTTATACCTTCTAGTAATCAGAAAATGAGACTTCCAAGAGCGTGTTCTATGATTTGTCCAATGGAGAAATAATTCAATATGGTGCCTACCGTTGAAGTATGCGCTGATGCAAGTTTGTTTTTAATTTAGTAATACGGAAAAGAGATGACGAATAAAAGCACTCCTATTATTGAACAATTTGATGTCCAAAACCTTCACTAAAATATTTTAAGTGAAAACAATATTTTAGCACCTTGAGCTTCAGAGTTTTAGGTTTTTTGTAATGGTAGTTCAGGAATTTTTCTTCTCTTGAATTTCAAAACAAAAAGCGTGGGCTTATCAATAGTGCATGTTTGCGAATTCGCCCGGTAGCCAGGACATAGCCAAAAGTTCAATTATGCCTTTGTTGTGAATAAAATTTGTGAATAAGTTTACCTCCAAATTAACTCCAATATTTTTAACTAGCATCAAAACTTACCATCCTGAGAAAGCCACTTAAAACTATAAAGACGATGAAGTGAATATTTCGTGACCTTTCAAGCGGTTAAAGTATTTTCCATGCCTCTCATTGACCGTTACAACGCAGCCTTCTCCCAGTTCTTTTCTTTTTTATTTGAAAAGTACTTTGAATTTAAGTTAATTCAAAACGAGTATGAGACAAAAGTCTTAATGGCTCATCGTGCTTAATTACAGTAGTTACATGACAGTTAAATTTGTTTTATAATGTCATGTTTACTCAGTAAAGACGCAAAAGCGATCCGGAAAGCGGTTACGTAACCATAGACTTTATCGTAGCGTAAACATCAAAACTTCGTCACCGTTGGTCATACGAATTTCTCCTATGGTTTTAAAGAAACGTTACAAAATCCTCTCCAAAACGATAAATTTTAAGATTAAATTTTAATTCAAAGATGTCTGTTCTTCCAACACATCACCCGCACTGAGTTTAAGACCTTAAATGACCCAGCCCTTTCTTGTAGTTCTGTCTCCACTGCAGCAGCTGTTTAAACTAAGTAGTTCTAACACCCCTGCATCAGCTTTAAAAGAACAAGCAAGCTAAACTAAACTTCTCTTCACGTGTTATTGTCTAACCTGCTTTGGTACACTCAGATTATACAGAGGGTCCTAATGCGGTGGTGGCTCTTACGGCCAACGGTTAAAATTTGGCCATTTTACAGCTACCGGTTGTTTGCTTTCCGTTGTGATTCAAAGAAAATTTCCTACAGCTGACTTTTTCACGACTAACGGTTAAAATTTGTCAATTTTTTCGCCTTACGGCTAAAATCTTGAGATATGTCCAGAAATGCATGCAGCAATGAAAATGGCGAAAATTTGCCAAAATCGTCAAATCCGCCGAGCTGATTTCGCTTTGACGAATTTGACTGAATCGTCAATCCATCAAATCCGACGAAATCGTAAAATCCTTCAACATTTACTCGGTTTGACGAAATTTCGTCAAATCTACCATTTTCGTTACTCTGTGCAATACTGGACTTAAATAAAAATCTTTGTCGTTTTACGACTAATAGTTAACATTGAGACCCTTTTTCATTTCTTCCATCTGATCGTAATTATAAGTACTGCTCAATCGTACGTGGCTCAACCATTCGGTAATTTTACGAACATGTTAAAGGGACAACTTCACCTGTTTTGCCTATTTTCTTTAAGACCTCTACAATACTTGGCCAAACAAAGGTATCTCAAAGAAGCTTATGGCTTCAATAATCTACTTACTCAACACAGTTCGCGCACTACCTCACCTTTTCATCCTCGATAGATGCCCTTCATGGTCTTAATTGGCCTCAAGCATAATTTCGAGTTGACGACTCGCTAAGTTTTTGGAAACAAGCCTAGACGATTCTCAGTAACTGTTGATCATATATCATGGCAATTACGTGTCTTACATTCGCTCTCTATATAACACCTGCACTAATTCAAACTCCGCCCTCCTTAAAAATCCTACTCATGTAGGCGTGCACAAATTGTCCCACGATTGTCTGAATTCGTTACTCTTTAGAAGGAAAATATACGAGGCAAGCAAGCCCACTTGAATTACGAAAGAAATCACAAGACCATATTTTGCTAACCGTGATCTTTTTTTTATTCAAAATTACAGTAAGAAGTAAGTTAACAAAGTAACCTACATCATATAATCATTGAATATCGTTCCGAATAGGGGAGAAGTCATTAAAGCTTTAAGTATACATTTGTTTTTACTTGTTTACATTCTTACACCATACTCTTACTTTTAATAACACAAAGCGGTTCATCATAAATGAGTCGCTCTAAAATCTTTCTACAATAATAAGCGAGAAACCATCTAATTTCTGTCCACTCTTATGGGTGAAAAATTTGGGAAAGCACAGATCAAGTTTCTGAAAAGAGGAAATCAGTCTTACTCAATGACGAAAGCTATTTTTAAAATTCAACCATTACACTTATCAAGAAATGGCCCATTGTTCCGGGTCAACTTTTCCAAACAAAAGGCCTGAGTAATTGGTAGTCCTGAGGGATTTTGGCCGAAGGGAGGCGGAAAAGCTCGTAACTGATCGAGAAA